GGAGGGTTCCGTTTTCAGAACAGAGGGTACACGGTGGAGGAAAGGGGGCTTTCCAAAATGCTTGGAAATTCCGGAGCTTTCGCTGGCCGTTGGGCCGGGTAGATGGGAGCACAGTTGGGGATCCCCGCTTGCCGTCCTGGGGGAGTGGGTTGGTGTGATGGGGTGGGCAGGAGTGGACGCGCGCGCTGGGAGAGAGGGTGGGAGGGAGGGAGAGCGGCTTGGAGCGCGGGGAGGGCCTCGGGCCTCGGGGCGCGCCAGGAAGTGAGCGCGCTGGCCGCGGCCCTAACTAGTGGCCAGGCGCTGACCTGACGGTGCTGTCTGTTTTGTTTCCCAGTGAACCCCAACTACACCGGCGGGGAGCCCAAGCGGTCCCGGACGGCCTACACCCGGCAGCAAGTCCTAGAACTGGAAAAGGAATTTCATTTTAACAGGTATCTGACGCGGCGCCGTCGGATTGAAATCGCGCACACCCTGTGTCTGTCTGAGCGCCAGATCAAGATCTGGTTCCAGAACCGTAGGATGAAGTGGAAAAAAGACCACAAGCTGCCCAACACCAAAGGCAGGTCCTCCGCGTCCCCCTCCTGCTCTTCCTCAGCTGCCCCCAGCCAGCATTTGCAGCCGTTGGCCAAGGACCACCACACGGACCTGACGACCCTATAGAAGTGGGGACCTCGGGCCCATCCCTCCCTGCGCTCCCGGCTGAGCCGAAGCCGCGGGGACAGGCCGGGCCCGCTGTCACCTCGCTGGGCTCTAAGGTACAGTAGGGTGGACCTGGGGCCTGCTGGCCGCCCTGGGACTAGGTTAGCATCCTGCCCGAGGGCAGCCCCCTACCTGAGGCAGGTGTGGGGGCGGGAGGGGGGCGGGATTCTCTCTCTAAGTATATTATCCTATGGCAGGAGCTACTGAGAACATAAAACCTTGGTGAGTCATTAAACTCATGAAACTCTCTGCTGTTGGATTTTGAATTTACAAATGAAGGTTGGATGCTTTATCCCGGTGTGAATTCAAACATCCTTCCCCACCCCATCCCTCCGGGATCTTGTGGTTTAATAATGTGGGGGAGTTGAGGCCGCAGGTTAGCCACCCCTGTGCTAGGTGCTTTCAGTGGAAGCAGGAGAACTGGGCCAGGATTTATGAACTTTCTGGGTTGTCTGTATAATTTCCAGTGTGAAGAAAAATATATATATATATTTTGTTCCCACTGGCCCCATTCCCAAAGAAATGACTCTAAGAAGGAAGTGGAAACGGGTTATTTTATGTTTAGATTATATTTGCTTAAATATTTATTTGTTGGGGAATGGGGTACAGAAATAACTGACATCTTAATGCCAAAAACCTTAAGATGGTAAAAGGGGCCAGGTTTCAGGGAGCAGAATCAGAGATGTGTGGACTGACTTCTGGCTGTAACCGGCATTTTGAACCCACCCCCTCCCCATTGCCCGGAAATGTGTGTAGGGGCCCTTAACCCTTCTAGAGGGAAGCAAAGAGTCCACTCTGCATTGCATTCTTGAAAATGTATTTTCACATGTGCTTTTTCCAGCACCCTGCTACAACCAGTATTCAGGGTTGTTAAAGGAAAGGGGAAAAAGGAAGGAACAAATGGTCCAACATTCTCCTGGGGAAAGAAAACAAAACCTCTGTTCTGGGTCATTTGATAACGACTGAATTTTCTGTTCCAACTGGGTTCCAACTGCCCAAATAACCCATATAGCAATGTTTTATAGGGATTGGTGTATGGCCTATATGGAAGAGGGGGTATGCAGTGGGGAGAAAGTGGGAGGTAGAGGAAGTCTTACTTTAAAAAGGAAAGAAAAAACTAATTGAATCTAGAAGTCTACAAAAGTTGGGCTTAGGGGTTTATCCCTGAAGTTTTTTTATTTTTAAAACAAATCTTAAGGAAGTTTTTCTCAACCTATCAGTTAGAAGCAGAAATTGTAAAAGTACAGAAGTTTTCAGGCCCTCTTCCTTGCCTTGAGAATAGGGTTTAAAACAACCACTCTCAAACAACAGGGGAGATGTTCTTCAGTCATCTTTCTTATGCCTTGCCTGGAAGGGTTCAAAGCTCATTTTTCTAAAATGCTGACCCTTAGGGATAAGGGGGAAAGAGTCAAAGGTAATGACCAGAGTTCATATACCCAAATGAAACAAGGCTTCAAAAGTTTAAACCCCAAAGCCTCAGGCTCCAAAAAGAAACCCCAGGTTGTAGCTATCGAAGAAAAGTGACAAAAGGGGGGAGGGAGAAAGGGTGAGCTTGAAAGAGAGACTCAGAATTGGGGTTATTTTTTCAGTGCTTCAGAACACTTTAGAAGGTTTCAGTGGTAATTAAAAATACATTTAAGTGTAGAGAAAAGAAAAGATTTTCTCTGCACCCGTGTTCTTTGGTTCAGTGTCTCCTGAGAGCTGAGGGCAGGTATTCACTGGAGTCCCTAGGCTGAAATTCCACTTCTCTAAAGTATCTTCCAAGCCTTGGTCTTTTGTATTAGACCCTGGGGACAGCTCTTTGTTCCTCCTTGGGGTGAGCCTGGCTCTCAGACTTGCACATGGCAATACTTGAATATCGGCACGTCGGGATATTAAAGATGGATATTCCTGCATTATTCACATCATTGTTTCTATGACAAAAAGCACAGAGTTCATACATAGTCAAGATGTCTTTTTTCTGACGCCCTCACGTTGAGAAGCTGAAAAGGTATTTTACTGAAGTTCGGGGCTAAATTACAGAATCAGGTTCATCCAGAGGACAAATTTTCTATTCGATTAGCTGTATTTCAGCCGGGAGGACTGACCTCTAAACCCTTAACCTTTTGGACTCTAACTACCCTTCTTTTCTTTTTTTTTTGGATGTAGCACTTGAAAAGAGCAGTTATCCTTAGGCAAGATGGAAAGTTGCTAAGATTCTATCTTAAAACCCAGGTCTGTGAATACATTTAACTTCTTATGTTTTCACAGCATTTAACTAATATACAAGGGTGGGCGAAATTAGGTTTCCAGTGCAAGACATAAATAATACAATAATTAATAAATAATACAATAATACTGTTTTGCAGACTCACAACTGTAAACCTACTTTTGCCCACCCCTGTATATTATAAAGATTATTATATAGATTTCCCCCCTTCCCAGAAGTTTAGATTCCTTAACCCAGGTTTAGACCAAATGCCAAAACTACTTAAATGCCTTCACCCCTGCCCCAGGGGAAAGCCAAGAGGCATATTTTTATGAAGAAAATCCAAGCTCATTCTCAAACATAGCCCCATTACTTAGGAAAGTAACTTAATCACAGAAACAACTTCTTTGTTTATAAGTCCTCAGCTCTCCTTCTCAGCTTCCAGGGATTGTCTTTTGAAATGTTAATGGAGCCTGGATGGCTCAGGGGGCAGCCCACGACCCTGAGGTCCCAACTGGACCCCAGCGTCCATTTGGGCCCACAGGAGTGGGGCAGGGAAGAAGCAGGGCCCCCCAACCACCTAGGGCACGGAAGGAAACGAGTTTCCATCTGGGAACGTGCTCTGGAGAAAGCTAGTTGTGGAAAGACTCAGTGCCCATTTGCTTTTATTTGTTTCCACTTTGTTCCCCCAAATATGAGCCAGAAGTGTTTGTTTTGGTGTGTGTGTTTTTTAAAGCTGTGTTGGGGTTGTGACTAGAGGGAATGAAGTGTTTGCTGAGGACATTGCTCCTCAGACTCCCATCTCACTTTGTCCATTGCAGCCTTTTGTTGGGAGATGACATTGTCAGCCCATGGTGTTTGTTCACACAAGATGCTTTTTAAATAGAATTGACCAATGTTCTGCTGCCATTGATTAAAGTATTATTTATACTAATTGTTGCCTGTAGTTTTGATGTAATTCATTGATCTATATTTGAAATAAAAGGTATAGTGAAATCTCCCTCCTGTTTGGTGCCTCCACAGAAGCATTCTTCGTTAAGTCTTCAGAAAGCTAACACTTGCTATAAACTATTTTTTATTTTCTGCACTATGCCTGGCATATGAACGTTAAACTGTGTAAGGTTTAGCAATTCTATCATTACACCCTCCCCCATACATACCTACTGCCAACTTAGCCACCATATACTGTGAGCATTGGGAAGCCTGGGGTTGAATTCAGGCTGCTGGGTGGCGGGCATTATGTTTTAAAGGAAAATAAGTTACTGGCCTAAAAGGAGGCTCCAAGTTGGCTTTCTTCGTGGCCCCTGGCAGCCCCAGACCCCTTCAGCCTGTGTTTGTGACGTGGTGGGTGAGAGACCTCCTCACCCCACCCCCAGCTCTAAGGGAGAGTGTGTACAGTGCTGGGTTCTGGGCCAGGCTGGGGCTGGCCGGTGGCTGCTCCGACCTGACCCCTCTGGCCTCCAATCGTGGGCTCCTTCGACTTTTCTGGTGCTGCTGAGCCCCAGTGGGGCCTCCAGCACCTGCCCCTCCTTCCCCCCAGCGCCCCCTTCACCGTCCAGACGACAATAAACACTCCCCACTATAAAAAGTGGCATGCGCTATTTTTATCGCGAGGGCTTTTTCACGTTTTGGCCTCGCCTCGAAGAGGGGCCGAGACAGCGGTTCCAAAGTCCATGGAGAGGGGGGGACTTGCTCGAGAAAGGAAACGAGCCGAATGCGTAAAATCAGACATGTGTCCTTAATATATGGAAGCGCTCGCCTCGGACGCGTGGACATGTGTATGTATAAGCGGGCAGACAGAAGTTTAAATATTCAGACACATTTTATGACTGTCCTTTGCCTGTCTCCTGGCGAACGGCGCCTCCGGTCCCGGCACAGCGACAGGGCTCAGCGTGCCAGCCGGCCGCGTGCGGGGAGC